CGGATTTACCTTTAGAAAGGCTTTTCTTTAGAAAACTATTAGGAGAAGTATTTATTTAGAGTAAATTGAGCCTATTTTTGGAGACCCATTTTCTAGAGAAAAAGCCCTCACATTCTGCTTTCCAGTTTATTCTTAACCGTATACTAATGTTTAAAAATCTTAAGTGCAACATCAAGATAAAAATTAATCTATAAAACTTGTCTAAAATTTTTCCTGGGAGAGTAAGGTGAGGGGCTGTGGGAAAGAAGGTGCAGTTCTTCACCAGCAGTTGGACATTGGCCTTGGCGGGAACGCTGGTTCCTGCTTACCCCCTGGCTGATCCCCAATATGGCAAAAAACTCAGCATCACCACGTTCTTCTGAAAGGAGTGCTGTTGCTTTTGCCGCTGTGCTGATGCAGAAATGGGAGTCCCCGTTGTACAAATAAGTATTTGCCTAATATCACAAATTGTTCTATTTGGGCTCCTTTTAGCTGTGCTGTATGATCCCCCTCAGCCCCCATTGGAAAATAAGCTGACATTGAAAATAAAGGAAATGTAATAATTACCAAAGGAAATATAATTTGAAGATGGCAAAGGGGCCAAAATAGCAGTTAAGGAAAAGAGAATCAGACCACCCGAGGTCTGAGTGAGCGATGGGTTCCCAGAGCTCCTCAGAGCCCACCAGCCCTTCTCTGGCTTTCAGCCCTGCTGCTGTGAACCCGTGACTGCTGGCATGGGTTCGGGGCACACAAGGGCGCTTCCCTTGGAAATTCTCTCACACATGCAAGGCAGGTGGGGACATAATGGATACGTGGCCCTGAAATGGAAGCCTCGGGACACCACTAAACAAGTGTCCGTGGCCAGTTCACTTACCACATTCCCCATACACATTTATCCCCATGGATCTCTTCTCGCCCTACCATTTCCCCATTTCTTTTCTTTTTTCCTTCTTTAAAGAGAAAGCTTCATCTGATCTGGCAGAGAATGACAAGCCTCCAAAGTGGGCATTTTGTATTCTAATGACAAGTATTATCCTGGGGCAGCCAGCAGGGTCTGGACGTACACAGGGAGAGTGATCCAGTTATGGCTGTGACAATGCCTGGTAAGGGGAGAGCTTGGGAAAGGTCTTCATCGGTGGCTGGTGGCTGGGCGGTTTTCTCTTCTGGGGCGAGTTTGAGTCAGCAGGTGGGGTTCTCCCCTGGCCCGCTGCAAAGGCTTGGGGACGTTAGTGAAGACTGCAGACCTCCCCTTATCTGCACGGTCAGAATACAGTAACGCTAGCCCTTTCTTTGTCCTACCAAACATGAAACCCTGTCCAAAGAAGGCAATAGGAAACCCTTTGTGATTTCCGGACTTGGATTGAGTTTAAGACGCTTCTCTGAATTCATAGTACATTCCAGCTTGGAGCTACCCTACACCCGAGCCTGTCTCGTGTTGGAGTGGAATTTGGGGCAGGGGCGGGGGAAGATTTAAGGTTCCTGCTAAGGCTGTTGGAAAGGAAATGTTTTACTTTTTATTTTGTTTTTGTTTTATTTGGCCCATCACTTCCTGAATGGCCTCGGAGAGAGCAGGAAGTACAAGGAAAGGGCCTGCTCGTTTAATTTTAAGACGCTGGAATAGTGGGATAGGATGTGCCATGAACCAGGTTTATATATACAGCATCATAAATGCTAACATGGAAACACAGACATAATAATTGAGGGGGAAATAAGAAACAGGCCGTGAACTATTTTGTATGATATCTCTTTTTTTTTTTAAAAAAAAAAGTATATACATATGTACTTGGAAAAAAAAAATGTCTGGAATGAAATAGACCAAAATGTTAACAAAGGTGGTCTTGGAATGGGAGAGATGGCTGGTTTGACATATTTTTTTTCCCTTGGCTTGTTTATAGTTTCTCTTTTTTTTTTTTTTTTTCTAGCATGTTCAAGCTTTTAGTGATGTGTATTTTCATTTGAAATTAAAAGCTAAATAGTAAGATAACAAAGATAAATAAATAAGCAAGGGTTCTAAAGCACAGGTCCTGCCCCTGCCTTGTTCTGGGTGAGGAACCTGTAAGCACCCCTTGGCCGGCCTCAGGCCCCCCAGTTCCCACTTATCAGCGGAGAGGACTGGACCCTCCCCGCACGGCAGTCCTGAGAATTCGATGGTGAGTTCCTCGTGACGGTGCTGTGTAGTGTACGCCTTCCATGACCATGGAGTTGTGCTTACTACTATTTGGCCTCCTCCTCTTCTGGGAGAGTCAAGTCCTTCCTTAAGAATTTTCTGTGAGCCTCGTATACAGCTTAAGGCGTGGTGGTCGAGTGCTCCCCACTGGAAGGCGGGCCACCCCCAGACCCCCCGAGGACTTTCTGGCTCCCATCTGATGCTTCCTTTGTCATGGTGGCTGTGGAGTGTGCATGGAGCTAATGTACACGGAGCTGGGTGACTCCTGGGCAGCTAGTCAGAGAAAAATGGGACTGTGTACCAACAGCACCGAGAAACAGTGCTGGCCGCGACGAAGATCAGACATCCCAGAGTTCAACCGCCTGTGAGACAAGGCTCATAACCAGCCTGAATCTTGGCTCCTTCACCTGGGAAAGGCAACTATCATAGTTGCACCCTCTCTGGGTTCACTCCCACCACAGTGAGAGGATGACTCACAGCAGGTAGCAGAGAGCCTGGCACAGAGCGAGGGCTCAGTAAATGGCAGCTGCTGCCATGTGAACCCACTGAACAGTCGCTGCTGATGACAGGCAGTGTGGATTGGAGGTGACGGTTGTTTTTTACCAACTATTTAGTAATAGTAAAAATAGTTATAATGTGAACCCATTAATGCCTGGATGGCATGAGAGGGTAATGCCCAATGGGCTGCATTCTCTATGTGAACTTTCCTATCTTTTTGGTTTGAAATGCAACAGGCCTGGTCCTCTGAATGGTTTGGGGGTTTTATTATGTTCTTCCCAAGAGTGTTTTCTTTGCTCAGCCCAAGAGACTTGGAGAGAAAGATCAGAGAGAGAACAGCTATTGCAGCAATGAATAAATAAGGCTGTAATCTGAACACTCTTTCCACCCAGGACTGCAGGGCTTGCGACTCATTTTATAGCTTTGCCCTGCCTGCCAAAGTCAGGGCCCCCGCATTCCTAGGTGATTCCCTGCATATGGGGGCGGGCAGGAGGACACCAGGAGGTTCCCCTCTGAAGTTCGAGGATCTGTTCAGATGCCAGCTCCTTTGTCTCTTAGTGACATGTCCCTGTGCAACCTCTTGGCTATCATAAGAATGAGAAATGATATATTTACAGAGTATCATATAGTATTTACATATAATAGACAATGCATTTTTATTATTATTAATACCACTCCTATCATAAAGCTGAGCTGGGAACAGTGGGGATAATAGTCCTTCTCTATCATGTGCTAGACAAATAGTTCCTAGTGTTGGGCTCTGCTCAGATCTCGAGAGTGAGAGGGGTCTAACCCACTTGGTTCTGGAAAAGACTGAGGAGGTAAGAGCAGCAATGCTGGGTCTGTGATAGGGATGTTTAGTCTACAATGGAGAAGACTAGAGACTTCTTTACCAAGAAGAATAATAAGAGTAACAGTATTGTTCATCAATAATTATATGGCAGACCCTGTTCTAAATTCATGGCAAGTAGTAAATTTTTTAGCCTTCAAAACATCTTTTTGAGGTATAACATTATGCCCATTTTACAGGTAAGTAAATTGAGTCACAGTGAAGCTAAGGAATTTTCCCAGTCATATAGCTAGTAAATTTAGAAACTGAGATTCAAAGCCGAGCCACCTGTCCTATGTCAACATTCTGCCCCTTTGTGCCATATCTATTTCCATTATCTAATGAGGTTATCAAGGGAAGGAGAATGAAACATCCTCTGTCAATACAGGTGGTCAAATAGGACCAGCAGTAGAAAATTCAGGGAGCAAGATTCCATTTCAATAGGAGGAAGTCGGCAGTAATTCAAAGATCAGCTGTCATGTGAGGTAGCAAGTCTTCTGTTACTACAAGTATTCAAGTAGTTGTTGGATAGCCATCCATGATGGGAAAGCTTTGAGGGGATTCTAGTATGTAGAAAAAATTTTCACTAAACAAACCATAAGTCCTCTTACAACACTGACTTTCTCCTGTGCCAACCCAAACTTTACAGTTGTTTAATAAGAGCTTCAGTAAATGAGCAACTGAATGAGTTCACTGACTTCATGAACATTTCATATCAAAGACTTACTTAACATGTACAAAGCAAAAGTGACCTATTCTTCCAGATGCCTAAAGCGCCTAGTGACTTTAGATATGTCGGTCGACAATAAAGGTTGTCCCCATGTTGTCATTTTATATTTGACTATTTTCTTTGCTATAATTGGACTTTAAAATCATTGCCCACAGGAATAATGCCTTACCACGTTTAAACAGCAGCACTGGAAATAAAATTCAGTTCCAGGTGAATATTCCAGATGCCGCCAGAATGTCTTGGGTGACCCCATTCATTCATTCACCAAAAGTTGATGATTTTGCTCGAATTAACCTTAACTGTGTGCCAACAGGAGGTGTTTGTTGACTAGGGTGTTCACTAAATACAGCTGACCAGCAAACTATGTCACATAGACCAGCGGTTCTTGAGTGTGGTCCCTAGTCCAGGAGCTTCAGCAGCATCCGGGAACTTGTTAGAAAAGCAAATTCCCAAACCCCACCCCAGGCCTGACCCAGAAACTCTGAGTCAGGGGGTGGGCCCAACTCTGGTGTTAACAAGACCTCTGAGTAATTCTCCTGCACAGCCAAGTTGTGTCTTCTCTGGAACCCAGGCCCCCAAATAGGATTAGGCCTAGTAAATCGTACACACACCAACATACACACACACCCCTGGACTCAGACAGTAGGTAAACACTGGGAGAGTACCATTTCTCATAAAAGGCAAAGCTCTTCTGCTCATGTATCCCTCACAGCATTCACCCAGTTTTTTTTTGGGGGGGAGGTAAGGGGCCCACGGGGTCAGTATCTGAATAGTAACACACAATAAGAGGTTCGTACCTGCCAGCCCTCTCTGATGCTGGAATGATGTCGAGAACTGCCCTTGTCCTCTCAGGGGTTAATGGCAATCTGTGGCTGATTTCCATGGGACATTCAGAAAGTGGGGGCCCAGCTCTGCTTGCCAAGCCTCCAAGGACAACCCTGAGGTTTGGTCTGTGAGTCTCTGGACAAACCAAGGAAATAGAAAGTGAAAACAAACACGGGCGTTTATTTTCCTAACTTGCCAATTGCAAACAGAACTTTGCTCAATACACCATGAAATGATTCACAGAGGCCTCTGTGTTATTCCGAAGTGCAGCTGGCTAATGTAAAAGAATCTTTTCCTTGGTCTTCCAGGCCATACACTATTCCCAGGCACGCCAATTTGTATTTATTTACTGGTAAGGCCTGTATCTGCTTTGTGAGTCAGAGTGTTAGGAATCCTGCTGTCCAGTGGGCATAGTAGACAAGAGTCTGCAGGGGCAAATGAGCTGCTCCGACCCTCAGACACTCCTCCTCGCCTCCAGGGCCCCTGGTGCAGGGCACCTTCCACACCAGTGGGTTACTGCAAATCCCCAAAATAGTTGTCCTGGGTATCAACCTTAGTTCTCTTCAATCTGATCTCCACACCCAGCCCGAGTAAATTTTTTTAAAAGCGTATCTGATTATGTTAACAACATGCTTTCAAGAATATCTTCCCTGTATTTCACTTGTATTCTTACAAGTATATCTTTCCAATGTAATTAAAATAAAACACATGCTCCTTATGATGGCCACCAGCCTTCCATGTGACCTTCCTACACTGTGGCTCATTCCACAACAGCCACAATGTCCTCCCTGCTTCTTTTTAATTCATGACAGTTGCTTTGTTCTTTGCTACCTCAGGGCCTTCGTACCACCTATGGCCTCTCTCACTTCTGCTCTGCAGGCGGGTGTAGTCAGTTCATTCTTGAGGTCTTACCGAGCTGCACTGTCCTCAGGGAACACTTTCCTCCACCCCACCAGGTCTCATAGACAAGGTCAAGCCTTTTCATAACGCATTCAAAACATTCCCTGATGACTTCCGCATAGTCATGATCAGCACTGCAAGAAAGTAATTGTTTACTTGGCTGCGCACTATTTTCTTTGTGGGATACAGCTCCATAAGAGCAATGACACCCCACTGCTCTGTCCGCTACTGCAGTCCCAGCGCCTGGCCCAGTGTGCAGCCTACAGTAGGTTGTCAGTGACGATCACTGTTCATTATGGACATTGAATGATGCAATGAATGAACTAAGTCTTTGTAAGGATTTGGGAATTCTGGAACAATTTACATGAAGAGAGAGAGAAATGTATTAGACCTACAGTAAAGACCTTTTCACCACAGGAAAAGGTTACATTCAGGCAAATTTTTAGGCAGAGAACTTAAAACTCAGGGGCTGCAAGATGGGACGCCTTCCTTTGAGAGGATCCATACATAGGCTGTGTGGAGTCACGGCCCACGAGCTTGGCTTTCCACGTTGGAGAGAAGAAGTTCCAAGTGCAGGAATGTTACTTAATGTTGGGTGCATGGTTGGAAACTCTTTTATGGCTGATTAAGTCAATCCCTGTTTCCAGGGTTTAGAAGCAAGGACATTTCCTGTTGCCATTAGCATTTACAGACATTGATTCCAGTCATATTATGCTCTTTAAAATCCACTCTCCATGTACGACCCCAAGTATGGAGGCTCTGAGCAGCCGGGTAACTCTGGGTTTAGGGTGAGAGGCTGGGGCACTTGGTGCCGCCTGTGACCTGGCTTCTCTTGGGTCTTTAGTCTTATCTACTATTGTAGACTCGTGCCAGCCAGAAGGACACATATATAAAGACAGACGTCTACCTTCGGAGAAATATTAGTGTCTTGAGCTTTAGCTCGAAGCTTCAAAACTGCATCTTCTTGCAGTATGTTCACATACACACACACACACACACACACACACACACACACAGGGCACACCACTCTGTGCTGTAAGACCACTTCTTCCCCAGCCACACACCCCCATGTGCCTACATTACACAGTGTGGTCTGAGTTCAACATGTAGCCAAGTCTGAATCACCCAGGGGATGCTGGGGAGGCCCTTTTGTTCTGTCCTCCCAAATATTTCCTACTTAATGCCTCGGTGTCTGAAATTCTACCATTAGGTGGTCTTTCTTTGGGATAAAGTACTGCCTTTTCTGTGTGGTCTCTTTAAATAGCAAATGTTTAAGATGACTTCTAATTAAGTATAAAATAACCTGCCTAATATGCTGTATCTGATAGAAGTTTCAGTTACATAGACATATTCATTTCTCCACACACAGTGAATATACACTTAAGATTTTAGCATTTTATTTTTTGGAAAGTTTACATCAAAAGAAAAAAGTAAACAGCGATTGTACTCTAGTTAATGATAGCATGTTGAAGTATTTAAGGGAAATTGTACAAATGTCTGTAATTTACTTAGAAATGTGTAAAAAAATAGGTGACTTGATGGATAGATAGAAGGATAAGTATGTGATAAAAACAGACAAAGTAAAACATTAATGGCATAATGTAGATGGTCTGTAAATAATGTTCACTGTAAAATTATTTCAACTTTGCTGTGCGAACAATGTCACAGTGAATGTTGGGGAAGAGAAAAAACCTAACCTGCCCGAGTTCCCATCAGAGAGTCTCATGTGTAGTGGTCACTCGGGGCTGGCACCTGGTATTTGGTTAATGAGAGGACTAGCGGAGTGGGCTCTAACCTCGACAGCTCTTTAGAATCAATGGGGACGCTTTTCTTAAGTGCAGGTGCCTGGGCTCTATCCCCCAGGTTTGATTCAGTCAGTCTAGAAGGGGTCCAGGCATCGGCGTGTTTTAGCATCTCCTCCGGCATGCAGGCATGGACCACTTTTCCTTCCTCCTGTGGCTGCCGTGAAGGCCACCCTCTGCCCAGGGCCGGGCCCAAGCCCCCAGAGAGAAAGGGAAGGGAAGGGGGAGCTTCTCTAACAACCAAGGCCGGGAATCGGCCCGGAGCCCAGTCACTGCTATAACCGCAGAGTTCTGCCTCTCCCTGCACCGGGGCCGTGGTTTCCATGTGCACCACTGGAGGAGAACAGTAAAGGTGAAAATCACATCAGTTACATGGAGGCGTTTGGTCGAGGTAGATAACTGAAATAATCTCTATTATTTTTAACTTTGAAAAACAGATATAATAGCGTCTGTGAAGGGGGAAATCTTCTGTTAACTTTTATTCACCTTCATTTAATTTTTAAATATGTAGTAAACATGATTGTAGGGCCTCTCATTAGCTGGGATATCTCACAGCCATAATTTTTGATACACAACATTACTTACCAATTAGCCTGTCTTGTTCATTTAAATTTCTTTGCTCATATTTTAATGGGAGCTAATGATGCCTTTGTTGACTTATTTAATGTTATGTAAATGTGGCTATAAACTGTGAAGGGTTTAAGCAGAAGCACTATTTTTGCTTACTCTTCAGATTTTGGAGTGTATAGAATCCCCAGGAAACACATAGATCAACGCAATGAATGTAAGCCACCGAGGAGGCCAAATAATAATAATAATTTTTAAAACAAGCAGTGAGGGATGTTTAGAGTAGGAGATTTTTATTTTCCTCTGGGTTAATTGTTTATTTGGGTATAAAAGGAGTTTTAAAGTTAACTTCAGTAAGTTGTTTTTTCTTTTTTCTGCTCCCATACTCATGACATAGGCCAATCAAAGACCATCTTTTAAACCCAGGCAGGGATGGCTGGACCTCACAGTGGCTCTCTCGTTAAGTTTCAGGAACCTTGCTCTCTCCAGAGCTCCAGTCTCTCTCTTGACCAGCACCTAAATATTTTGGATGATGAGTGAATGAGTGAAAGCTTTATTCGTATAATGTAGATGACCCTTCCAAGACAGTGGCTTCTCAATACTGTGGCCTCTCTGCCCCTCCAACCATCTTGTCCATTCCCTTACCTCGCCCACTCCCTACTCGTACCCCAAGCTTCGTAATAGCAATAACCGAATATCACTGTATTTCGGTGCCGCAACACCTTAACTCTTATCACCACTTGTAGTTTTTCAGCTTCTTTTCTCAAATATCTCAGCTTCAATGATCTGTCCCCACACACACACACCAGGACCCCTGATCTGTTGACCCTGTCACAGTTTCTGCTCTCTAGTACTGCAGGTTCTCTTTTTCCTCCCTCCCCAACTTCAGTTCCTTGGTAACTAATAGCAACCACTGACTGGCATGCGTCCTTCATTCCCTTGTGGAACTTACCAGGTAAAACCACAACTTTGGCTGAATCTCATTCTCTTTCTGCTCTGCAGTTGCACCCCTGGGGCTGAATATTTGTTGTGACCACAAATGTTAAATGATTCCTTCTGCTGCCAGGCAAGCGCACTGTACTTCCAGCCTCTTTGGCTCCCAGTCTCTTCTATGACTTATTATGGGTTGTCCCTCCCCAAATTCCTATATTGGAGACCTAGCCCCCAGGACCTCAGCCCAGTGACTTTTTTGGAAATAGGGTTGTGACAGATTCATTAGTTAAGCTGTGATCAGGTCATGAGGATAAGCCTTACTCCGATAGGACTGGTGTTCCTATAAAAAGGGGATGTTTGATGGAGACATGCACCCAGGGGGGACTCCACGTGAAGACAAGGTTTAGAGACTGGAGTGATGCCTCTACCAGCCATGGAACAGCAAAGCAGGCCAGCAAACCACCAGAGACCAGGGGACAGGCGTGGAGCAGACTCTCTCTCCCAGCCCTTGCAACCAAATCTCCTGACACCTGGATCTCCTCGGACTTCCTGCCTTCACAAGTGTCAACGATAAATGTTGTTGTCTACGTCACCCCGTTTGTGGGTCACACAGATAAACATGTCATCCTATCATACCTTCTCTCATTTCAAACCTTCAACATCTCTTCCTCATCCTCACTCTCAACTGATGACTCTGCTTCATCCTTCACCAGGAAAAATAGAAGTTGTCAGGAGCCCCTACCCCCCATAAACTCAGAGCTATACACCGGGGCATGAACTAACTGCTCCTTCCAACGGAGAGCCAGTTTGATGTACAAGATGCCATCCCACTCACCTCTGTCTAGTTTAGTAACTCTCCTCCTCTCTACTAGATCATTCTTATAGGAATATAAGCCTTCTGTTAAGAAACTGAGACTCTTGCAATAGTCT